GGGCCGAGTGCATGGCGCGCGCCGGCGACGCGCTCGCGCAGGCGCTGGACCACTTCGCCCGCGTCGAGGACGCCGAGAGGCAGTGCGAGGTGCTGGCCAAGCAGGCGACGGTCATGCGCGCCCTGGGCGACGTGGAGCGCGCGGACGACTGCGCGGCCAGGTATCTGGAACTCCGGAGGGCGTCGGTCGGTGGCGGTGCGCTGCGCTCGTCAGTGGCTTGAAGTGATGACTACGCATTGTCTACGTCGAACTAGGAGCTACATCATGACTTAGTAGTAGCATACCCCCGCCCGGATCAATGGGTTTGGCTAAGTATCAATCATTGCCAGAGGATCAGCAACCAGCTCTGATGAATGAGGCCCGCAGAGCTGTCGCCGTGCCGTCAATCGCGATATCCGAGGCATGGTAGATCTACCTATCAGGTGGGGAGAAGCGCGTCACAGAGCAAGGAAGCTGTCCACCCCGGCGTCTGTAGACATACTCTGGGCGAGGATCACGGTCGAGGAGACAGCAACCGGATGGTAGTTCGGCTTTGGCGCTTGTGATGGGATCACGGGCGGTGGCTGGAGAGTTCGAGCTGTCGGGGACAGCTGTGCGCTGTCGTGGTCCGGAGTGTGGATCAGCTCCTAGAGGGACACGAGAGGTAGTCGGTGCTGTTTCGCCAAAGCATGCATACATTATGATCACTCTGTAAGAGGAAAGGGGGGGTAAAATAGAAAAATGCATGATTGCGAGCTTCGATTGCTCTGACTCTAAGGGAACATGTACAGATAGACTCGTCCGCGGACACGCCGTCCCCAGTGCTTCCGCCTTTCCTCCACCCTGCATATCCTAGCGATCTAACATGAGGATGCCCCAAACTTAGGTGGCCTTGTCCTTGTTGTGGTAGTTGACGTTCTTGTTCCAGCTATAGGCAGGTCAGCAAATTGCACACACGCACGTGTAGTAGAGCCGTCCGGTCCGGTCCGGGAAGAGCTGCCGATGCTGCCCTGCCCACGCACGGCCCGGCTGCGCTCGGAACTCGAGCGTCGCCAGCACTTACAAGAGAGTCTAAGAGTAGGCACGTCAGCATCAAAGTCAACATGGCAACATCGCGTCATCACCGAAGCCTGCTTACCTTGTCTCCATCGCCCCAGGGGAAGTTCCGCACGCGGATGTTCTGGTAGGGGTACTCGACGCGCTCCTCCAGAGGGGGCAGGTGAGACCAGTGGTCCCAGTGCTCGTTCCACAGGTAGTAGGCGTTGGCGCCGGCCAGGATCAGGCAGGGGATGACGCCGCTGCGAAAAAGAGGTTAGGTTAGCGGATCGCTTCCATCCATCCATCAATCAATCAATCAATCATTCCGAGTGAGTGTCCGTCTCGTCTCTCTCGCTTCCCCAATCTGCCACTGTAGCACCCCGGGCCGGGGCATCGTTCGAGGCGAGGGCATGAAGGCGGCAATGCAGAGAGGAGGATGGGGTATAGGGTGGTGGTGGCCTACTAGATGGAGATCTTGCGCCAGAGCTCTGTTTCCCGACGTCGACGTTAGCAATCACTTTCCAGTCCTCACACAGCACAACACATGGTAGCACAGCCAATCGCGGGCAGGGGGACGCACCAGTGGTGGAGGCAGCGTGCTCCTTGACGGCCTTGCGCTCGCGCACAAAGGCGTTCTCGGTGCTGGAGCCCGCGGCGGGCGAGCTCATCAGGCGGCGCTGCAGGGCGGAGCGCACGGCGGGCGACCGCAGCTGGGAGGCGAACCGCGGAGCGGCACGCATGATCTGGCCCTGGGGAAGCATCTTGTTCGGCAGCGTGCGTGCGTGGGTGGCTTTTTTGGAAGGAGTGGAGAGGTGTGGTCGTCGTCAATTGCAATTTGACCGGTCGAGGTTGGAAGAAGGAGGTGTTGGTGTTTGTCGTGGATGAGGTCAATTGGCAATCAGGTCATTTTCGTTGGAGCTTGCCGAGATTGTCCGTGATTGGTCGGATTAGGTAAGGAGCTGTCAGGCGCTGCGTCAGGTGACTGCGAGAAAGGTTCGTGCTTCGTGGCGGTGGAGGGGATCCACGCCGCCCGCCAATGACGCCAATGACGCCAATGACGGACCGCGCCGAAATGGATGGCAGGTGCGCGAGTGCGAGAGTGCGAGAGACTGGTTGAAGAGGATCAACAGTACGTGTAAATAAGCGCTTAAGCGATCTGCTTGAAGCTCATAATCTTCTTGTTGTGTGATATCGTGAGTTGAGCGTTTTCTTGAGGTTCTTGCGGCTAGAAACCATCCATCCCCGCGGCACATCTCGCACCTGTTATGATCTCGTCGGCTCATAGACCTTCTTTCCTTGTGAGGCGCGACGACGGGAGGATGCGACGGAGATCTCGGGGCGATAGAAGCTTTTCTTGATAGATATCCTCGAGCAAGGATCGTCAAGATGGGCTTGAGAATCACGACTTGGAACGGTGAGTCCCAGCCCTACTGCCTCTCAACGCTACCCGTAGGCTGGATCAGGTCTGATGTATTGCAGTGAACGGCATAAGGTACCCAAATAATGTCTTCTGTATCTCTGTAGCTTCCTCTCACATCATTTGCTAGGAACCCGTTCGGGTACCAGCCATGGAATCAGACCCGTACCTTCCAGGTAAGCCCATTGTTCTCATGCACGGTCAGTTCCTCTGATTGACCGCCGCAGGCCATGTTCGATATCTTAGAGGCCGATATCGTAGTCATGCAGGAGACCAAGATTCAGAGAAAAGACCTCCGCGATGATATGGTTCTGGTACCTGGCTGGGACGTCTACTTCAGCCTCCCGAAACACAAGAAAGGTATGTACAGCCAGCTCAGCCGAGGATTCCATGTCTAACACACCCTAGGCTATTCTGGAGTGGCAATATACACGAGAAACTCGAAATGCAGTCCCATACGCGCCGAGGAAGGGATCACTGGTGTTCTCTGTCCTCCAAACTCTACCACCAAGTTTCGAGACCTCCCCCCTGATCAACAAATTGGCGGTTACCCAGAGCCCAACCAACTGTCCAGCGGACTGGATGAAGCTACTCTCGACTCAGAAGGCCGTTGTGTCGTTCTTGAGTTCCCCGCCTTCGTTCTCATCGGCGTTTACAGCCCTGCCACAAGAGACGAAACCAGAACCGAGTTCCGCCTGGGCTTTATAGACGCTATGGATGCCAGAGTCCGTAATCTCGTGGCCATGGGCAAGCAAGTGATTCTCACTGGCGATCTCAACATTATACGATCCGAGATCGACAGTGCCGGCCTCATGGATCAACTTCGGAAAGAAGGCATGACGATGGAGGACTTCTTCTCCATGCCATCTCGACGCTTCTTCCACCAGCTCATCTTTGAGGGTCAAGTCACCGGAGAAAGGGATAAAGGGCGAGAAGAGCCGGTGATGTGGGACATTTGCCGAGTGTTTCATCCCGACCGACTCGGCATGTACACCTGCTGGGAAACAAAGAAGAATGCTCGCCCCGGAAACTTCGGCAGCCGGATTGATTACGTGCTCTGCAGCGCCGGCATGAAAGAGTGGTTCCAAGACTCAAACATCCAAGAAGGTCTCATGGGCTCCGACCACTGCCCCGTTTATGCGACTCTTGCCGATGTCATCAAACTCGACGGAAAAGACGTTCGTACTCTTGACGTCATGAACCCCCCCGGCATGTTTGAGGAAGGTCAAAGAAAGAAAGAATGGACAACAAAGGATCTTCTCCCGCTATCAGCTAAGCTTATCCCGGAATTTGACCGGCGGCGCAGCATACGGGACATGTTCTCCAAAAAGGGAGGCGCCTCGAAGCCAAAAGACCAAAGCGCTGCAGCGGGAAGCAAGAAGATACCTGAGCAGGATTTGGCACCACCAACTCCACTGCCTCTGACTACAACGCCTGAGGCTGTACTCGATGAAGACCCTGCCGTCGGCGATGACCCCTTTGCCATTCCACAGCATCCCTCAAGAGCTATACCTATCACTACACCCAAGCGACAAGCATCCACGGTCTCAGACCGACCACAGAAAAAACAGAAGCCGTCTCTCGTGAAGCAGGGTTCAAAGTCAACAAGTGGGAAGGCACAGAGCAGTCTTACCGGGTTCTTCAAACCCAAGACCGCGTCCCCAAGCAAGAAGGAATCCGAGGAGCCGGAATCGCCATTTGGGACCGAGTCGCCGCAGAAAGGTAGAACCTCCATTCCCGTGCTGTCACTTCGAGGTGCTGACATTGAAAGTGACATACTCGCCGGTCTCCCGGTCTCCTGGACCGGCAACCCCCGAAAAGGCAGGCGATGAACGAGTGTTCGACCCCATCGAGTCGAAGGAGTCTTGGTCCAAACTGCTCGGGAAGAGGGTCGTGCCCCGCTGCGAGCACAACGAGCCTTGCATCAGCTTGGTGACGAAGAAGCCTGGCGTGAACTGCGGTAAGCATCATACATCCATCATCCCCCTCATCCAGGCAACATTTCTGCAACCCCAGGATGGCACGGGGGGGGGCTTCACCTAGAGGCATCACGCAATACAGATCAAGTCTACAGCACAGCACTGACACTTCGTTACAGGCAGGTCATTCTACATCTGTCCTCGGCCGTTGGGACCATCTGGGGAGAAGGAGAGAGGAACACAATGGCGCTGCGGCACTTTCATTTGGAGCAGTGATTGGAGTGGGTTGCAGGCATCACAGTCATCACAGATATCACAGCGGGGGGACCAGTAGTTTTAAAAAAATATTTTTTTGGGGTTTTCTGGGAGGTTTTCTCACTATCGTAACACTCGCCAATTGATGTTATGTGCTCTTCCAGCATCTGTCGATGCGGTCCAAGGTGTTCCGACACTCTCCTGTGGGAGGAAGGGGGTTCATTTTTTTTTTTCGGTGGGTTTTGTGTTTTCCGTCTGTTTTTTTGTGCTTTTTGTGTTTTCCTGAAGGGCCCATGCCCAGATGTGCCATTGCGGCCAGCCTCCTGCCGTGCCGCGATCGTGGTAGACGTGCTTTGGATCAATCGAGGATCCGTTGCCGTCCGGTGCAGCGAAAAGCTGCCGAGGAATCGAAAAAGAGAAGACAAGTCGGGAAACCAGAAGGGGGACTTTAGTATCCGTTGCCAAGCGTTAGACCGTTGCCGATGTTCCTGGTGGATCGATCGGTGACGATAAAACTGCATTGGCAGTGGGACTGCCGAGTGTGGTCGGTGAAGGAAAACCATGATCAGAAGGGGGACTTTAGTATCCGTTGCCAAGCGTCAGACCGTTGCCGATGTTCCTGGTGATCGATCGGTGACGATAAAACTGCATTGGCAGTAGGACTGCCGAGTGTGGTCGGTGAAAGGAAACAGATTTAGACTCGGGCGTCGCATCGTTATCAAGGAGCACACTGCTCATGACGGTCCAAGTGAACTGATTTGTAGACGCCAACCTTTCCGTGACAGCGGAACTGCCGGATTCCGAGAAGCTTGGTGGGGGAGACGATATTAGTGAAGAAATGCCGTCTGCGGCTATCATAGAGAGGAAAATCTCCCTTGTCCGCATTTGCCGAAGAAAACAGAAAGAAAGGAAATAATAAAAGGAAGCCGGGCAATCAAGGAAAATCGTGCAGTAAGATCTGACCATGGAGTTGCAGTCCTGCGAAGTTCTCCCAGTGGGTGACGAGATCTCCGCCGATTTGGACGTCGGCAGCATCGCGTCACGATGTCATGGCTGTGTTGCTGCCAAACAAATGCGTGGAAACCAAGATCTCCACCGGGAGAGGACCGGACTGACACACTCATAGACAAGTGACGGCAGTGCCACAAGAACGGTCTCTCGTGCCATGATGGGGCAAGCAAACAACCGTAGCAAGAAGAACTCAGAAGTGAAAAGGAAAATGATCGTTGCTTCGTTCGCGAAATTGACCTGCTGATGTCGAATGTGCTCAAATGGGTATTATTGAAAAGCAGGTTCATGGTGTATTCATGTCGTTCGTGATGTCGTCAACATACCACAAGTCTGCTGAAGAAATGTTCCGAGGCTTGATTTACCCTCGAAACATCCACCCTCTAGGCATCATCTCAATTGCTGATTCATTCTGAGTCGCGATTGTACGAATGTTGAAGAGATGATCGATGGAGAGTGGTAAGTTGCCAGATTTCATCTTGAAAGAAACAGGATGGCAAAACACACTCTGTTCATCAAGACTGGAAATGCGTGTGGCACAGGTGACAATTAATCGTGCAATCATGCACGGGAGTTCTTGTTGCTTCGACGTGGCGAGTACTTGTAATTCGGGTACATTGCTTGATGTCTCCGTTTCTCCTCGGAAGCGAGCTGGAAGTACTAGTTCTTAGTCTCGTCATCCTCGTTCTGCCACATTTCGGATATCATCCCGGCTATATCATGTTAGCCACATATCAAGTAATGGTAAACAATGAGATGAAGAATGTAAGGCATTTGGATGAGTGGGCGTTGACTTACAAATTTGGGCAGCTTTGAGACCTGGGTTGCTCGTGGACAAGGCCTTGCTTTTGTCTCGCCGGTAGAGAATCCATGCATTCGATGGTCGTCTTACACGAGGCGGCTGAGGCAGCCTGCTGGAAGGCTGAGGAGCTTGGATCAGAGCATCGTGAGCGGCTTTGATCGCAACACCTTGACCACAATAGTTAGGGATGAGATGATTGGCGATTTGCGGAAGCTGGATGCCCCCAAGATCTTGACCGGTGTGAACTGAGAAGTTCTGTACAGACTGAAGACCCACAAGATCTTGACTGGCAAGGAAGTTGAAGTTCTCTGCAGGCCGATCACCTACAAGGTCTTGACCAGTGGAGAAATTCAAGTTCTGTGCAACTTGATCACCAACAAAACCTTGGCTGGTGGGGAAGGTGAAGTTCTGTGCAGCTTGGTCACCGACAAGATCTTGGCCGGCGGGGAAGCTGAAACTATGTGCAGGTTGATGCGCGATAGAGTCATCGGACTGCTCATGTTGAGCATTCCCGCCAATGAAGAATTGATTATTCTGGGTGGAAGCAGTGATATTCGGCTCAGTCATGGCGGGCCCATGCTGCTCAGAAGTTGCAGATTGAGTGACATCACCTTCACCCAACTCTGAAAGCTGAGCTTCATTGACATCGGTTCCATCTATCCATGCATGTCAGAAATGAGGCAGTGCACGATGTTCAGGCTCAACTTACCATTGTGATGTGCAATGAAGACGTAGCGAGAGGCATCGACTGTGTTCTCGGGGACGAAATGAGTGATTCGATATCGAACATGCTGTATATCAAAGTAGAGACTCGCAGCAATCCCACCCATCTCAAAGCTAGAAAAATGGTCAATTGTGATATGAAAGTGATGTATGTATCCCACAATGAAACTTACGCCCAACGTGTCAATGCGGTTCTCGCTGAAGCTTCGCTGAAGCTATTGGGAAGGAAAACGCATACGATGCCTCGGCCCGCAGAGAATACCCAGACCCAATCCGCAGAATTCTGGAGGTCTCCCACATCTGGGAGGTTCATGGGACTTTGCGTCGCCATGATTGTCAAGGGAGGCTTCGCGATATTATCCTTCTGGCCGAGGGCAAGATGAGCTGTCAGGAGAATTATCTGATAGATGGCAAAAGGTTAGGAGTAGTAACGTAGAAAGAGTTTGAGAGATGTCGAGGCTTCGATGAAAATCCTGGTGGGGTGGTTGGCAGGAGGACGCCTTTTTTTGATGTTTTCGAAAAGGGGAGACGCACAAAATCGAGCAAACTCCACTCCAGGCAGGAGAGATTATTTTCTTGACCACCCACCCACACAAACTTATTTACTTCTTCGGCAACAAAAATTTAAAGCCCTGCAGCCCTCTTCCACAGATCACTTATCATTGACCAGAATCATCCTAGACACAGGCATCGGTGTTGAGTCATAAACTCAGCCCGCCATCAACATGGACCCAAGCGAGCTTCACCTGGAAACACTCGTTCCGCGCGAGGATGCCTTGAGTGATTGTATCACTGAAGACATGACAAATTTGAGCCTCCTCACCCCACTGGAGTTTGTCCTTGTTGATTCTGCCCAAGTCCAGAGCTTCTTCTATCGTTATTACAGCCGTGAGGATGCAGCGATACTTATCAAGCACGTTAATGATATCGCCGAATACAAGCAGTGCTTTGATAATTATTTCAGAGAGATCAAGGCAGCTAGAGTGGAACGAGCATCAGGGGAAGTTGGACGCCCCTACAGTGTCAGCGCGATGGCGGCTCCTACCGCGGCAATGCTCTTCGCAGATTTCATCGTGGAGCTGTCGGTGAGACTCATTCATCACCTTGATCTTCAAAAAGAAAGACTCTCCTCGCTCGATCCTTACTTCTCGGATCTTAAGGAAGCTCTACTCTCTCAGAACGAGTTGATCGATAAGGCGATGCAGCTGATTCTGGCTGCTAAGAAAGAAGTTGAGGCCCCTGGACAGACCTTCGGTCTGGTTCCTCGAGAGAACATCATCCTCGTCCAGGGTCACCCTCATCTTAAAGATGGTGGCCGCTGGGTTTCCGCAGATGTCCAACATCCAGTCGTCAAGTATCCGGGTACACCTTGGGCCAAGTTTTTCAAGGGCACGCGACCATTCTTCAACATGCTTAACGGAGATATCCATCTAGATGAGGTCATCGGCGACGACGTGAATGTGGACGGCCCAAAGGTGCTGAGGCGGGTGCTGAACATGTTCTTCCTCAAGCAGGAGATAGCAGAGGTATGTGTTTGGATCCCATCTACTTGCAACGGAGAAGCTCACGACGTATTCATAGTTGGACAACACTACGGCCGCTGCAAGACAGCCACCTATGACAGTGAGTTCAAGTCACACACGAGTGTCGCAGTAATTGTACTAAACGCTCTCTAGCATATTGACAATCCGACCCTCGCCAGTACATCTGGTATCGACTACAGCCGGCTAGAGTCTGAGGTCGGTTTATCACCCCTAATGAACTTGGCAATGACTGGTACTTGGTACTAATCTTTTCCCAGATCCAGAAGCGACCGGTTTCTCATGACCATCTGCGCGACTACGTAAGTAATGTGCCGGTACTACATTCTTTCTGGCTCTTTCCCTAATTATTGATTAGATGGACATCATTCGGCAATTGAAGATGGATGCACAGGGTCATATTAGACTGGAATATCTTAATGCCCTGTTCGCAGAGCTGGCTGATGGTCCCCGAACATCTCCCCCAGACTTCCCATACCACTGGGTTGAGCTATTCGACTCCATAGTTTTCAAGGGCGAAGAAGCAGTTGACCAGGAGAAACGCTGGGAGGGAGGACTCATCTGAAAGGGAAAGGAAGATAGTGTGGGTGGTAATCGCTTAGAGTAAACAGGTAGTCACAGGTCACCTGACAATGAAGTACTTACAACTGGTGAAGACAAAGGGTAATCGCCTCTCTCTCTAAGCTACCCCACCAGGTGCCCCTCCGTTTGTCCTGAATTTTCAGAGAGTGGTGGCATTTGGACACCTTTTGAGCACCAGGTTTTTCTGGTGCTGTCCCGTCCTCTTCCGTTTTCTCATATTCTGCACTAAAATAATTCCTTCCTTCCACCACCCAATTTCTCTGTCAACCCTTCCCCACAACAACACGCTATTGCAATCTTAGGATTGTTACTGCTGTGTTTTCCCAGAAGGCCGCGGGTTTCCCATTACATTAATTCTGTTTTTTCAAACACTCCCTCGCTCCTTCTTTCGAAGATCAACATCACGATGGCGACCGCGCAAGATAATATCACCATCATGGATGCCACCATGAATGATGACGACGCGATCGCTGCGCTACCCGAGACCGACGCTCTGAAGCATTCTAAGGGCGTTAATGCCTTCATCGCGTTCCGAGGTAAGCTCTATTTTCTCGTCGTATTTTGTACAGATTACTGATATTTGAAGTCTACTATTCTGGTGCCTTCCCTTCCATGACTCAGAGGTTCAGATCTTCCCTGATCAAGCAAATGTGGGCGAAGGACCCCTACCACACCACCTGGAAACTGTTGGGCAAGGTGTTCACTACGATCCGCGATTACGTCGTCGATGTTAAACCAAACCTCGCCGACTTCCTTCGCATTGCTTGCCCTCATCTCGGAATCGTAGCTCCTGACGATTACCTCGGCGTGTTCCACTGGCAGTTTGCCGAGGTCAATGGTGAGGTGAAGTTCGTCCATGACGACAATGTCAAGGTCACTGTCAAAGGCCCTGACTGCACGAGCGAGTACGACATCGTCCTGGGCTGCATCAATAACGGATTTCAGATCAAGGATCACCAGGGTCTGCTCGAGCGTATGCAGTCTGAGCCCGAGAAGACGTTGTCATTCATGCCAGATGCTGAGACTCACCGCGGCCACTTCGAGAATCTTGTGCTCATGAATCCTCATGCCGCTATCGGCCGAATTATGGACGGTGATGCTGCTATCGGCCTCAACAACATGAGCGTCAATGTCGTCTTCGTCGACAGCGACAACAATGCTGGCCAGAATGGCAGCACCTCCGACCACGGCTCTTTCGCCAGATATGGTGGAATACAGCACATGCTCACTCAAGAGGCTCTCATGGTTGATCACTACGACTGGGAGAACGCAGAGAATCGCCCTCCGGCCAGTCCATATGGAGTCAATGGCTTTGCGGTCCAGCAGAGTGATTGGGCGGTCTTTGACATGGCCAATCCTATCTGCTGTGACCGTCTCGCGGACAACTACTCGGCTACCAACGATGACGAGACTGGTGAGCAGCTCCTTGGCTTGCATGGTATTACGTTTGACCTATGCTAACATCTGATGCAGCCAACTCCGTCTGGGAGCACGATTCCATGACCATCAAGCCCGTTCCCCCCCCGAACTGATTGCGTTCCGTTCATTATCGTTTCCTTGCTCGCTGTCTACGAGGTCGCGTTTCGTTCATTACCCTTTCCTTGCTCTCTGTTCACGAGGTCGAGTTGAGATTGAGACAGATCACTGCTGGAGGAAGGGGATTCACACCTTCTTGCTCTGCCGCCGCGATGGCACACCGTGATGGATGGAATACATGTGGGCTATCACTATCACAACTAGTCTAGACAACAACGACACCCCCCCAGATCGATTTCCTAGGTACTCAATGCAATCATGCCAGGGCCTGGACCCCCAACGGCGGTGTCCCTCTCGTGCTGTGCCGTGCTCGTGTGAAATCGCCTGGAAGCGCATCTGCAAGCGCATCTGCAGCAGCAGCAGCAGCCCCGGTGTCCCTGTCCCCTACAGGCCTCCCGCCGGCCTCGCGTCTCCCTCGTGACAAGTCGTTTTCCGTAAATATGCTTTGTGGCTTCGCCGTCCAGACACGCCCATGGATTGATGGAGGGGGGGCGTTGGCGTTGGCGTCGGCGTTGGCGTTGGCTCTTTCCTTTTCCTTTGTTGGCTCCTACACGAACAGACAGGGAGTGCCTCCTGTCGGCAGGGCGGGCCAATCAGGTCGTCGGGTGGTGGTTGCTGGGGCGGGCTGATGTCCAGTGACGTCCAGATAGGCAGCCCCCGCCAAGGCGCTAGCGATGCAAGTCTGGATCTCAGCCGCATCCGTCTCGTTTTGGGTTTGGTTTGGTTTTTTCGCGAATCGCACCCCCTTCTCTGTACCGGACCCCGCTGCTCTGGGTGCGAACGTTACAAACCAAGATGCTGGCCTGGTTGGCCTGGCGTGGCCTGGCCTGCGTGACCCGGTTGTTGGTTCTGAACACTGCAGAGTGGCCCCCCGGTTGGCAGCGAATCTCAATGGCACACACCGCAGTCAACTGCTCATGGCCTGCTATCTACGGTTAAAGCTAAAACGCCCCCCATCCCATCCCATCCCATCCCCTCCCAATTCAAGTGGCAAGGGGCCTGTCAGGCCCTGTCAAGTGTCAATTTTCTAGTGTTAGTGTTAGTGTCAGTGTTTTGTGACTACTGGGAGTGATCTGCATCCGTGGGGCCCGGGTGGTCTAGAGTAGCGAGAGTTAGAGTGCGGGTTAGCGAGTCTAGGCTAACTTAACTGAACTGAACAGCCGCGATCTGCGGGCCACCAGAAGGCTTCGATGCATCGTGCTGCTGCTGTTGGCTGTTGGCTGTCGCCCATTTCTGCATCGTATCGTATCGCATCGCATCGCATCGCCGTGTCAACCATCACCATCCCCATCCCCATCCCCATCCCATCCCATGCATGTCACGTGTCATGTCGCCGCCTTGCAAACGGAAACGGAACCGGAACCGGAAACGGAAACCACGTCGTTGCCTCGTTGCCTCGTTGCCTGGCCGGCGAGCAAAAGCCCTTACTTAGCGTGCCCTGCCTGGCAGGTGCAGCGTCAGGTGACTGACTACCTCAGTGGTGTTTCGAGGGGGTGGTCACGGGGAGATAAGGTAGCGCAATCGCCATCGCCATCGCCCATCGCCAGCCCAGCATCATCATCATCTATCATCCATCTGCAGGCTCCCAGGCTTCCCTTCCAACCTGAACTCCTTTCCGTCGCGCACCGGCGCAGCGCACACTAACGTCATGGATTGCGAGAGAGAGACTGACTGCTCGTTTCTATGTTTTTTTCTTTTTCAGTTTCTTCATCATCCTCCTCATCATCATCGTCATCACCTTTTCTTTTTTCTCCTGCTTCTTCATCACTTTCACCACTGCATCATCACCGCAGGCAGGCAGGCAGCCCGAATAGGAAGGAAGGAAGCGTCTTCGCCAGCCAATCCCCGCCCTGCGCCGCCCCCCCGTTTCCCCGTTCCCCGCTCCCCGCTCCCCGCCTGCAGGCAGGTCGCCGATGCCGATAACGATAAGGACAAGGATAAGGATAGGGAACCTTGCCGCCCTGCCCTGCATGCCGCCCTCCACTCCCCTCCTCTCCTCTCCTGCGGGCTGCGGGCTGCGGGCATGGGCATCCACATCCACATCCGCATCCAGA